CCGGATCTTCTGAGTCTGATTCGCTGGTTCTTTGCATTTTAGGGGCAAGGAAATGGTGAACTCGTTCTCCAGCGGCAGGCTCCTTCTCGAGTGGTCAACAGCGACACTAAGAGGCCTAACCGTTTACTGCATCCTCTCAGGCAAACACGAATTATTATTTTTGACTTATCCAACACCTGAAATCCTTCTTGTCAAAGATAAGGGGACTAGTGTTGATTCAAAATAATTGAATTGATGTACAGTGTTGACTTCAAGTTATCTTTCTTGGGACTCCATGCACTAACCTTACTGCAGCCGGTATTGCTTCAAACATAGTGGAGTTACTGTTTTGAAATGTTCAGTTTAAGAAACACACAGTAACAAAGACCTGGCCTTAACGACCAACACAACTATTAAAAGACATGACCACCACTTTTCCTTTCCCCACTAAACCTTGAACATGTATTTATTGTTATACTTACTACATTTATCAGGGTTATTTAATAAGATAGACACCTCCTCTTACACCTTTCCCTCTCTATACTCTTAACTCTGTAAGAGCTGAGACAAGGAAAAAAAGAAAAAAGCAACACACAGAAATATTAGCCATATTTATACATTATATTTCATTAAGTTTGTTCTCAGCAGCCAGATAACTTAGTCTCAATATTTGTTGTTGTTTAATATTCATTAAGCAAACACAAAATTAGGTGTCAGACAATATGTTAGTCTGGGGACTTCAGGTGAGCAATGTAGACACAGTCACTTCCTTCACAGAGATTATAAGGATATAAAAGCAAACATGGAATTGGAGCATACTGAGATAATTGTCATAATGGGGGAAGCCAAAGGGGTTGGGGGGCCTTCAACTGGGCCTTTGAGGTTAGCAAAGGCTTTCCCAGGAAACATGAGAGGAGCGGATCAATGAAAAGTCCTGGATATGAGAGAAAACAGCATGACAATGCCTAATGTGAGAGAGAAATCACAGACCCTCAAGGGGGGTCTGTGAAAGTTCTCTTCGTTTAAATCGAGACAATAATGATGTTTTTTCAAAACCCACAACTGAAACTAGTATAAATAAGCTTTCATGTTCCAGAGTCTCTTTCCCTGCAAGTTTCCAATTACAGAAATATAAACACATTTGTCATTTCAATCATGATGCATTACATATCTATGCATAAGGTGTTTATTCTTGTGGAGTTACTACACACGGTATAAATAACTTTGCTTTGATTTTCCTGTTTATACTTTATTATTCACTTACAAGTAAAGATATTATGACATATTATTCCACAGTGAGTTCCAATTTTACTCATAGAGAATTATGTAATAGTAGTAACCAACACAACACGTTGTTTCAGAAAATTTTTCCTTAATCAGATGCAATATAAAGAATCACAGCACTTTGAGAGATACGGTATCATTAAATAAAAGCCTCAATTAGTGTATGATAATTCCAAAATAAAAATTTAAAAATGATACCAGTTACATAGAATATTAGTGGGTTTATTATTTTCTGTTATAAAATACATAACCAACATACTAAAAGCCAATATAGGAAGAGGAATGGAAAAAGAAAATTGGTCAGAGGGGCACTGGGATTGGGTGAGGGATTGGGAGCACTTCTAGCAGCTGCTGTGAGTAGGAAACCTTGAGAAGAACAAAGAAGATCTTTATGGGCAACTGTATGATACAAATTTTTGTATTTGTATCTTTTCTTTAAGTAAAACTATATTGAGGATATATATTATTTTAAAGATTAAAAGGCAATATGGTTCCCACATATGAGAAAGATAAAAAAAAAAACAAAGAAGAGAAATCTGTTTACTATTACTCTACAAATTTATTATAGAACACATGATAAATCAGTTGCTTCTTCAAGGAACAGATAGCTTAGAGGCTAATGTGATTTTTAAAAATAAGCCAAGATAACATGACATACCTTCCTGAAACACTGTAAAGAATGTATATTTCTACATTTCCATCTTTTTTGATAGGGAAGGACATGGAACTTAAGGAAAACAACTTCACTGCCAAACTGAAAGGAATATATTAAGACCAAGTGAGAAAGAACTAACCAACTAAGGTGTTTCACTGTTCATACACAAACTCAAATATAAAATAAAAGTCCTATTTTAAAAGAAGAAGGGACCTGGGTAAGCATCAATTCCAAACTTTATATTTTTAACAAAGAAAAGGTTGTTGATCCGGTGGATGAGATGATTTGCCCAGCGGTGGAGAAGAAAGAATGAGAAACCAGACACCCAAGTTACTAATGCAGTGCTCTTTTGATAATCATCTATTAACTCCTGGTTTACATTCATGGAACAGTGATTCTAGCCTTTTCTTCCTCTTACAGCCTGTGAACATTAAGACCTACCAAGAAGTAATTCACCAAGACTCACTTCGTAAAACTTGACTATACTTTCAAGAAAATTTGGGGAACAAAATTGATATAGTAAACAGTGGAGGCAAGTAAGTGAATTATTTCAGCAAACTAGCTTGTATGTATATTGTTAAAAGATAGATTACCTGAGAAAATGTTTCTTCTCTTTCATCTTCGAGTAGAGATTGAGGTGCTGATAAAAAATCCTTTTTCTCACAGCTCTCCTGGCTGATGAGCGTGTCAGCGTAGTTGGGCTGAGGGAAGATCAGTTGACTCTTCCGCGAGTCCGCGGTGAGGCAGACCTCGTGGGAATAGGTCTGCAGGAATGCCCGCACCCCATCCACGCCCACAAATTGCGAATTGGGCACCAAGCTGCCTCCTGAAGACTGCAGTATCCTCGACTTGTGCCAGCGCCGCAGCCTGAGCGCCAGTAGCACGATGACAAAGGCCAGGAAGACGCAGGAGACCGCGGCCACCGACACCACCAAGTACAGAGTGAGGTCCGAGTCGTCCGTTTTGGCAGAGGGATCGAGGTTGCCCAGGTCGGCTAGGATGTCGGGGATCCTGTCGGCCACAGCAACAGTGAGCGTGACAGTGGCCGAGAGAGGGGGTTGGCCGTGGTCCTGGACGGCCACCACGAGGCTCTGCTTGAGCGCGTCTCTGTCCAGCAGGGCCCGCGCCGTGCGCACCTCGCCCGTGTGCAGCCCCACGGTGAAGAGTCCAGGCTCGCTGGCCTTGAGCAGGCGGTAGGACAGCCAGGCGTTCTGGCCCGAGTCTCTGTCTACCGCCACCACCTTGGTCACCAGATAGCCGGGCTCTGTGGAGCGGGGCGCCAGCTCCACGCCAGTGGACCCATCTGTGGGGAGGGCGGGATACAGGATCTCGGGAGCATTGTCGTTCTGGTCCAGCACGAACAGGCTTAAGGATACATTGCTACTGAGTGGAGGGTTCCCGCTGTCCCGCGCTATCACACACAGTTGCAAGTCTCGGAAATGCTCATAATCAAAGGAGCGCAGTGCGTAGAGGACCCCAGTGTCAGAGTTCATAGAGATGTAAGACGATAAGGGTTCCCCCTGAATGGTGTCCTCCAAGAAAGTGTAAGTTATGTGAGCATTGTTGTTGCTGTCGGGGTCATGGGCGGTCACTGAGAAGATGGAGGCTCCTCTGGGGTTGTTTTCGGGAATGTAGGCGGAGTAGGATGTGCGGGAGAAGGCGGGTGCGTTGTCGTTGATATCTGCCACCTGTAGCAAAATGTAAGCATCTGTGGACAGGGAGGGGTTCCCTTCATCTTTAGCAGTTAGAGTGATGTTGTAAAAGGAAAACTGTTCCCTGTCAAGGGCTTTGGTTGTAACCAATCGGTAGTAATTGTCTACTGACTTTTCTAACTTAAAAGGAAGATTATCGGGGAGTGAACAGGTGATGAATGCATTCTGCCCAGAGTCTCTATCATGTACATTAAAAAGCCCAATTATGGTTCCTGGAGGAGAGTCTTCAGAAACTGAGCTACTAGCAGATGTCATGTAAAATTCTGGAGCATTGTCGTTCACGTCCAGAACTGTGACGATAACTTTCGTTCTGGTCAGAAGGCCCGGACCATCCTGAGCTTCAATATCAATTTCATGGGATGTAGCATCCTCATAATCTAGAACTTTTATGATTGTCAGATCTCCAGATGTTGACTTAAGCTCAAATAGCTCTGAGGTTTCTCCAAGACTTTTCTCTAGAAAATATGCCACTTGAGCGTTGTACCCCTCATCTGCGTCAGTGGCAGTCACCGTGAGTATCCGAGTGTCCACGGGCGTATTCTCCAGAACGCTTACGCGGTACTCGGGCTGTGTAAAAACAGGCGCGTTGTCATTCACATCCAGGACCTTCACGCAGATGCGGGAGGTGCCAGATAGCACTGGATCACCCCCATCGGAAGCTACGAGAACGAGGTGGTGAACAGCCTCTTCTTCGCGGTCCAAAGCGCGCTCCAGCACCAGTTCTGGGTACTTGTTCCCATCAACTCCGCTTCGCACGTCCAGGGAGAAGTGATCATTTGGGTGGAGTGCATACTTCTGAAGGGTGTTCTCGCCTACGTCCGCATCATGCGCACTCTTAAGAGGAATCCTGAATCCTGGCGTAGTGGTTTCACTGATTTTTAGCTCCAGTTCTTCTACTCCAAAGCGAGGAGCATTATCGTTAATATCTGTTATTTCCACCTCTACTGAATAAATCGTCAATTTATCTTCCAGCAGGATGTTAAAATTCAACAGACACTGCGCGCTCTGACCGCAGAGCTCCTCCCGGTCTATCCTGTTCGCAGTGACCAAGCTGCCACTTCGCGGGTTCAGAGCAAAGAGCTGGGTCCTACCTCTGGAGACGATGCGGACTCCCCGCTCTGCTAGCGCCAGGGGCTCCAAACTCAGGTCCTTGGCGATGTTGCCTACGAAGGAGCCTCTGTCGATCTCTTCCCGCACAGAATAGCGAATCTGCCCAGCCCTGGCATCCCACAGGGTCGCCAAAAGGAAGCACAGCAGGACCAGCGTTCTGCAGTGTGGCAACTTTTGCAGAGCCGCCATTTCCTTCATGTCGCTGTTTTCTCCGAGTCAGCTTCCAGCATCCAGTGCGGATTCCAATCTTTATCCCTCAGGGTGTGTGATGACCAGCATTCACGGGACCCAGGTCCCTATGGAGAGAACTGGTGGGCTGTTCGACTGAATTTCTCTGGTACCCTGAAGTTTTAGGGCCAAATCTCCAGCCCCTTGTTCCGTGGGAGCCGTATTGCTGGATTGGATGTCTCGCTGCTTTTTACTCCTTAGGTGGTCAACAGCGACGCTCAGAGGCCTAAATAATTTCTGCACCTTCTCAGGAAAACCTAAGTTACTTCTTGTTTGTTTGCCTTTGTTGACTTTCAAGTTGCTTTAAAGAATTTTGCAGCTCTAAGATACCCCAGGAGTAGATCTTTCAAAGCATGAATCTTTTTATCAGGATTAATAAGAATACTATAAATGAACAAGATCTTGATAATAGTTGCTAGAAAAATATTATTGACTGCTCAAGACATTAATAAATGCCACCACTGCCCTTGCTCCAAACATCTTCCATCTCTTATTGTGTAGTCAGAAGCAGTAAGATCAATTAAAAAACATTAGCTGCATTTTCTTCTAAGGTTTATATCTTGAACTCTTGTGGTTGATGGCTTTAAAATCTGCCTTTAAGTTACTGAATCATCAGACAATTAGGTACACATGCCTCACACTTTGCATGATTGGGGCTGGAGATAGAAATGGTGAATATGATAAACACTGGCTCTGCTCTCAAGCATGAAGGATGGACAAGAACGTAAGAAAGTAAAGAGAGTGTAATAGAGTATGGCAACTGCTGTGACATGAGGTGGGAAATACTGGGTGATGAAGGAATACCTAGGAAGGGTATCCAGTCTAGATTTGGGATCAGAAAAGTCTTTTTGAGGGTATAATTGAAGCTGAATCCTAAAAAGGAGGATTGAATCAAGAAAAAGGCTGAAGAAGTGCTCTAGAACCTCAGAACAAATGCTTGAAGGTGAGAGACAGCATGGAACATTACAGAAACAGAAAGCGGGTCTATTCAATAAAGCTAGAGCCAGAAAGGGCTTTTCACCACATTAGGAATCAGTCCTCAAAATTGTTTGAGGTTGCCAAGTTCTCTTTCTGATACTTATTTTCCAAGGGTGTAAAATACAGTGCAGTGCATGTCTTCTTACTCCTGTTTCATCTTTACCATTTTGACCAATGTTGAGCATACAATTCTGTGACATTAAATACATTCAAATTAATTAATATAATTATAATAAATATAATTGTATTATAATTAAATTCAATTATATTCTGGTATGATCATTACCACCATCCATCTCCAAAACTTTTTCATCCTCCCCAGCTGAAATTCTGTAATTATTAAATAGTAACTCCCCATTACTTTTCACCCAGTGCTTGGCACCTACCATTCTACCTTTTGTGTTTATGAATCTGACACTACTCTAGGAACTTCATACATGAGGAATCATACAGTAAATGTCCTTTTGTGACAGGGTTATTTCACTTGACATAATGTCTTTGAAGTTCCTCCATATTGTAGCATGTGACGGAATTTCCTTCCTTTTTAAGGCTAATAGCCCATTGTATGTGTGAACCACTTTTTGTTTACCCATTGATATGTCGATGGACACTTGGGTTACTTCCACCTTTCAACTATTGTGACTAATGTTGCCATAAACATGGGTGTACAAACGTCTGTTGAAGTCCCTACTTTCACTTCTTTTGGGTAATAACCAGAGCAGAATTGCTAGATCATATGGTAATCTTATGTTTAAATTTTTGAGAACTTACCATATCATTTTCCACAGCAGACGTATCATTTTATATCCACCAACAATACACACAAATTCCAATTTCTCCATATTGTTGTTAACACTTCTTTTCTTTTATGACAGCAATTCTAATGAATGTGAAGTAGTATCACACTATGATTTGAATTTCCCTAATGAATAGTGATGCTGAGTATCTTTTCATACACTTTTGTCCATTTGTATATCATCTTTGGAGAAATGTCTATTCAAGTCTTTTGCTCATTTCAACATCCAATTGCTTGAGATTTTTTGTTGTTGAGTTGCGGGAGTTCTTTATTCTGGATATCTATTCTTAGATACATTATTTGGAAGTATTGGCTCTCATTATGTGGGCTTCATTTTCACTCTATTGATGTTGTTCTTTGCTGCACAATAGTTTTTAATTGTGATAACGTCCAGTATACTAATTTTTTCTTTTGCTGCTTGTGCTTTTGGTGTCATATCCAAGAAATTATTGCCAAAATCGATGTTATGAAAGTTTCCTCCTGTTTTCTTCTAAGAGATGTATAGTTTTAGTTCTTAAACATAACAGGTAAAAGGATTTTGTTGCTTCTGAATTTTGCTTCTTTGATCCATTTGCATTAATTTTTGTATGTGATATAAGTGGAATTGCCCATTTCTGGTGACACTTTAGTCTGTTTGCCTTTTGACTCCTTCCTGGTTGAAATTTTTTCATTTTTACTTTCATCCATTCCTCTGAGAACACTGAAGAAAAATGTATTGTGAAGAACTGATATCAACTCACCATGCTTTCTTGTAGAACTACCATGGTATATTTTGCTTTTGTTTTTCATTTTTATGTTTGTGTTTGTGTTTGTTTTATTTCATAGAGAATGGGTCTTGTTATATCGGCCAGGCTGTATTCAAACTCCTGGATTCAAGCAATCCTACTGCCTCAGCCTACTCAGAAGCTGGGATAATATGTACCCCACTGTGCCCAGCTCTCTTACCTGAGTCCTAACATTAGACTTGACAGAATTTTCATTTTCTCCCCACTGGTTTTATAACATCTATTTTCTACTTCCATTACTTAATCCTCAGAATCCTTCCTTGGTTACATTTCAAAATGTATTTCTGTTATTTTTTCTTTCATTTTATTTTGGTTTATACTCATTATATGTTTTTTATCTTCTTGAACGGCAAGCTAATGTATGTATTTAAAATTACTTTGTTTACTTTTCAAAAATTATTGCATTTGTCTATAAATTTACTCCTAATTAGTTTTAGCTGCATCTCACGATTTTAAATAAATAATCTTTAAGTCCTTTTCTGAGTAGTTTTCACTGTCATTGTGATTTTTGAGATCCAAGAGTTATTTAAGGGTATAGAGGTAAATATCCAAACATTTTTTCCCTTTTCTATTTATAAATGTTTGCTTTGTGATTTAAGTATGTGTTATAAAGCATGTGTATTATTGGTACTTTAGGATTTTCTGAGCCCTTTTTTGTGATAACTAGGTAATAAACTGTTGTAGATTTTCTATCTGTTCAAGGATGGCTATTCCATATTTGTTATGTGTAGAACAGATCTATTAGAATCCTAATAGATCAAGCTTATAGATTGTGTTCAAATCTTCTTTATGTTGACTAATTTTCTGCCTCTAGGGTCTATTATTTCTTATGGAATTATGTTAAAATCCTCCGGAATTTTCTAAGCTATATTTTTGGTAATAGAAGCTCATATTTTTATATCCTTTTGATCATCTGTTCTTTTTACCATGATAATCAGTTCATTTTTTAAAATCACAATTTGTGTTTGTTGCCTTAAATACTACTTTGTTCAAGCTGGGTGTGGTGGTGCGTGCCTGTAGTCCCAGCTAATCGGGAGGCTGAGGTGGGAGGATCGACTGAGCCCAGGAGTTCCGACTGCAGTGTGCTATGCTGATCGGGTGTCCGCACTAAGTTCAGCATCAATATGGTGACCTCCAGGGAGCGGGGGACCAGCAGGTTGCCTAAGGAGGGGTGAACCTGCCCAGGAAAAAAACAGAGCAGGTCAAAACTCCTGTGCTGATCAGTAGTGGGATCGTGCCTGTGAATAGCCACTGCACTCCAGCTTGGACAACATAGTGAGACCCCAACTCTTAAAAAAATAAAATATACATAATTAAACAAAAATGAGAAAGGGCAAGCAATAATTTTGCCACATCTCCAAATTTTAGTTAATTCTTTTTGTATTTATTGCTGTTTTTTTTTTTTTTAATTCATTTTTATTTTTTTTTTTTTAGACAGAGTTTTTCTCTTCTTGCCCAGGCTGGAGTGCAATGGTGCAGTCTTGGCTTACTGCAACCTCTGCCTCTTGAATTCAAGAGACTCTCCTGCCTCATCCTCCCAAGTAGCTGGAATTACAGGCATCCACTTCCATGCCCAGCTAATTTTTTTGTTTTGAGACAGAGTCTTACTCTGTCACCAGGCTGGAGCTGGAGTGCAGTGGCATGATCTTGGCTCACTACAACCTCCATCTCCTGGGTTCAAGCGATTCTCCTGCCTCAGCCTCACGAGTAGCTGGGACTACAGGCGCTTGCCACCACACCCAGCTAATTTTTGTATTTTTAGTAGAGAATCGCTTTCACCATGTTAGCCATTATGGGCTTGATCTCCTGACCTCAGGTAATTCACCCGCCTCAGCCTCCCAGAGTGCTGGGATTACAGGCGTGAGCCACCATGCCTGGTCTTGTAATTTATTTTTTCCTATCTTTTTTAAAATTGTTTTTGTCTAGTGGTGTTATGCTTACCAAAGTTCACTATATGTGTGTGCTTATGTAAATATGTATGCATATGTATATATATTCACCTTTTTTGTATTATATGGTTTTATTTTTGAAATTTAACTTGTAAACCATTAAATATTTTATTTATCAGAAAAAATACTACTTTGTTGTTATAGTAATATTAACATGACTGCTTTCTTTGTGTGTGTGTGTGTACATATACATTTAGTTTCACTGTTTCCGTGTATTTTCATTTTAAGCATGTGTTTTCTTAGATACAGATTTTAAAAATCAACCAGTTTTGTAATCTTTGTCCTTTAATAGGTAAATGTAGCTCATTTGTATATAAACAGAAAAAAATTAAAATTATAAGAGCTGAGAAAGTCCAGAACTGAGATAACTTAGTTATCAATTGAGAGTATACTCTTGGTACCAAGCAAAAAGTAAAAATAAAAATGCAACAGACATACAGCAAGAATGAGAGAGAGTCTTCAAAAGTTATCAGAGAAAAAAACAGAGATTACCTTCAAAAAATAACAATGGGTTGAAAGAAATTTTCTCGCTGGCAACAATAAATTCTACAAGACAAATGTTTTGAAATTTTGGTTTGTACAGTTATTTGTAGTGGAACAGCTTTTGTTTGTTTTGGTTTTAGTGTTTGTTTGTTTTTTTTCCTGTTCTACGCTATCTCCTTCTCTCCTTCTCTGCTTCCCTCCTGGGTTCAGTGCTCATTTCTAATGGTTTTGAAACAGTTTCTATCTGACCCCAGGTCCCAGGCCATAACTAGGTCTCTTAATGACCCTTTAATGACGCCCAGCGGTAATATTCTGGATACCACAGCTCACATCTGAGAGACTTGGTGTCCGCTGTCTCTAGCCAGCATCCATATCTATCTCTCTTACTTGGTCTACACGGCTTACAAAAACAAGTTATAACCCCAGGAATTGGTAGGCAGCTTTTATTATTTTTTTCTTATTTTTATGTTGTATGTATGTATGTATTTAACATGGTGTCGCTCTGTCACCCAGGCGACAGTGCAGTGGTGCAATCACCCTTCACTGAAGCCTTGACTTCCTGGGCTTAAGCGATCCTCCCAAGTCAGCACCCGCCCCGCCCCCACCCCAAGTAGTTGGGACTAGCAAATTCCAAAGTACCTGTCTGACTGGTCTTGAACTCCAGGGCTCAAAGGATCCTTCAGTCTCACCCTTTCAAACTGTTGTTATTACAGACGTGAGCCACTGCCCATGGCTAGACAGCATGTTAATACATCTTTCTATCCCTTTGTAACCAGCAGAAGGCCCTCATTACTTATTTTGGATTCAGGTGGTAAGCGTGGTCAGGTCATTTATCTAGTCTGAAGCACTTGTACCTAGTACATTGCTGGAGTCAGTTTCCTAACCTTCAATTTCTGCTTTTAAGTCCAAGACTACAACTCACATGGCTTAAGACCAGCTCACCACTTTGTTTTTGCTTTCCTCTTCTTACATTTTATGTATCTTTGTATTTTATTGAAGCAGAGTAAATATATCAAAGCATGGACTTACTCCCCTACTTACTCTCATTTTTTTTTTCCTTCTGAAGAGATAACACATATTAACACAGGATATATACTTGATTTTTGTTAGTCAGTTTCGTTACAGGTACAATATATAAGTCAGGAAGCTTCAAAACTACTTCTCAAGTTGCATAATAAATTTTCTGTTGATCGTTTCGTTACTCCATAAATTACTTAAATATATTTATCCTTCAGTACAGGCACCACAGCTCATGCCTATAATATCAACACTTTGGGAGTCTGAGGTGGGAGGATTACTTGAAGCCAGTGGGTAGAGGCTGCAGTGAGCCATGATCACACGACTGCACTCCAGCAATACCCCATCTAAAAACAAAAATATCTGATATATCTGATAATATAGAACAAAGGGCTAAGACATTCAACAATAATTTAAAATTACAGCTTATATAGATTTCTATAATTTTTTTTTTGAGACAGAGTCTCACTCTGTCACCCAGGCTGGAGTGCAGTGGCACGATCTCAGCTCACTGCAAACTCTACCTCCCAGGTTCCAGATATTCTTCTGCCTCAGCCTCCCAAGTAGCTGGGACTATAGGAACGTGCCACCACACCCAGCTAATTTTTGTATTTTTAGTAGAGATGGAGTTTCACCACATTGGCCAGGCTGGTGTCGAACTCATGACCTCATGATCCACCTGCCTCAGCCTCCCAAAGTACTGGGATTACAGGTGTGAGCCACCACCCCCGGGCAGATATTTCTATAATCATATATGAACACAACTAAAACCACTACTTCAGACAATCTTCACCTCTTCAAATGTCCCCAAATAAAATATCACAGTGTCCTGATAGATGATATCTACATTAAATTGAGGGGTGAATTAGCAGATATTTATAACAAGAAAAATTGAAAATAGTATTAGTCATTTAAATATTGGTGAGCCTTTTCTAATCAAACCCTTCCAGATAAGATGATGGCAAACCCATCATTTTATGGGTTTAGCCCAGAGGCAAGTAAGAGAATGTTAGAAGCTAGATCTCCCTGTTTCTAATGCAGTGCTCTTTCCAAACAGAGATGGCATCTCACACATGCCTTCAACCCAACCACCTACATTATGATCACATTTGAATGCAAGAACAATTATAAATATCCCTGCATATGAACGTGTAGACTCATTTAGTCGTGATTTTCCAGGACTTGTAACAAAAAGCTACAAAGATACATGGGTTGGAAGAACTGTCTGTAGTAAAGAGTGAACGCAAGTAAGTAAAATCAAGAATTATTATCTACATAGCTTATACAAAAGTTTACCTGAGAAAATGGTTCCTTTTTGTCTTCCAGTAAGGACTGGGGTGCTGATAGAAAATCTTTTTTCTCACAGCTCCCCTGGCTGATAAGCGTGTCAGCGTAGTTGGGCTGCGGGAAGATCAGGTGACTCTTCCGCGAATCTGCGGTGAGGGAGACCTCGTGGGAATAGGTCTGCAGAAAAGCCCGAACCCCATCCACGCCCACAAAGTGCGGGCTGGGCCCGCCTGCCATCCCGCCTTCCGAAGCCGGCAGCAGGCGTGACTTGTGCCAGCGCCACAGCCTGAGTGCCAGCAGCACGATGACGAAGGCCAGGAAGACGCAGGAGACGGCGGCCACCGACACCACCAGGTACAGAGTGAGGTCCGAATCGTTGGGTTTGGCTGAAGGCTCAAGGCTGCCCAGGTCCGCTAAGATGTCGGGGATCCTGTCGGCCACGGCCACAGTGAGCGTGACGGTGGCCGAGAGAGGAGGCTGGCCGTGGTCCTGGACGGCCACCACGAGGCTCTGCTTGAGCGCGTCTCTGTCCAGCAGGGCCCGCGCCGTGCGCACCTCGCCCGTGTGCAGCCCCACCGTGAAGAGTCCCGGTTCGCTGGCCTTGAGCAGGCGGTAGGACAGCCAGGCGTTCTGGCCCGAGTCTCTGTCCACCGCCACCACCTTGGTCACCAGATAGCCGGGCTCTGCGGAGCGGGGCGCCAGCTCCACTCCAGTAGAACCGTCTGTGGGGAGGGCGGGGTACAGGATCTCCGGTGCATTGTCATTCTGGTCCAGCACAAACAGGCTCAGCGACACGTTACTGCTCAGGGGCGGGTCCCCGCTGTCCCGCGCCATCACTTTCAGTTGCAAATCCCGGAACTGCTCGTAGTCGAAGGATCGCAGCGCATACAGTACCCCAGTTTCGGAGCCAATGGACACGTAGGACGACAGGGGTGCCCCCTGGATGGTGTCCTCTATTAGGGAGTAAGTGATTTGCGCATTCTCATTGCTGTCTGAGTCGTGGGCCCTCACAGAGAAGATGGAGGCGCCTCTGGGGTTGTTTTCAGGAATGTAGGCAGAGTAGGAGTCTTGATGAAAGACTGGAGAGTTGTCATTGATATCTGTCACTAGCAGTGAAATGTGAGTTTCAGTAGATAGAGCTGGAGTTCCCTGGTCTGTTGCTGTTACTGTGATGTTGTACCCAGAGATAAGTTCTCTGTCCAGTGTTCTTTTAGTCACTAAACGGTAATAATTATCAACTAACTTTTCCAATTTAAAGGGTAGATTTCCAGGAATGAAACATGTGGTGTAACCATTGTCTCCTGAGTCCTGGTCAAGCACACTTATAAGAGCAATTATGGTCCCAGGAGGAAAGTTTTCTGGAACTGCAGTGGCGACAGAGGTGATGGTCACTTCTGGGGCATTATCATTTACATCCAAAACTTTAATCAGTACCTTAGCTCTAGCCATGAGCCCCGCACCATCCTGGGCTTGAACTTCCATTGAATAAATTTTGTATTCTTCGAAATCCAGCGGTTCTTTATTTGATATTTCTCCTGCATAAGAATCTAAATGAAATATTTGAGCCACTCTGTGATCTGCATTATGAAAAGAGTATGTTACTTCTCCATTGGCTCCCTCATCAGGGTCAGTGGCATTTACTATGAGCAGCTGAGTGCCCACCCGCACGTTTTCAGGGACACTGATACGGTATTCTGCCTGAGTAAATGCTGGAGGATTGTCATTTGCATCTACCACCTGAATGCAAATTCGGAGAGTCCCTGAACGGACTGGATCACCCCCGTCAGAAGCTGTGAGGATGAGGTGGTGGACAGCTTCTTCTTCTCTGTCTAGGGGACTCTGCAGCACCATCTCTGGATGTTGGGGTCCATCGGTCCCCTGTGGCACATCCAGGGAGAAATGAGGGTTAGAGCTGAGTTGGTAGCTCTGGAGTGAGTTCAGACCCACATCAAGGTCTTGCCCAAAAGGCAATGGGATCCTTGTACCTGGAGTAGTTATTTCATTCATTTTAAACTCCAGTTCCTCTAATTGGAATTGGGGAGTGTTGTCATTAATATCAATTATTTCCACTTCAACAGGGAAAAGCTTCATTTTATCCTCAACAAGGATGCTAAAACTCACGAGACATGGCACCCTCTGAGCGCAGAGCTCCTCCCGGTCTATCCTGCCCGCGGTGATCAAGCTGCCACTTCCCGAATTCAGAGCGAAAAGCGGCATCCTACCTCTGGAGACAATGCGGACTCCGCGATCTGCCAGCTCCTGGGGTTGTAGCCCTAGGTCCTTGGCGATATTGCCCACGACAGAACCTTTGTCTGTCTCTTCTGGCACTGAGTAGTGAATATTCCCAGCCCCAGATTCCAGCAGTAACTCCAGAGAAAGATACAGAAGCATCAGCCGGCTGCAGCTGGTCAGCTTTTTCTGAATCTTCATTGCTCTCTAACTTTGTAGTTTTCATCCAGTCCAGTACCAAGTTTTCGTTTCTGCTTTTCTGAGCTGAAATTAACCCAATTTTCAGGAGAATTCTGAGTGGAGAGTCATCCAGAAGTAGGATTTAGACAGTCTTGGACAGTCTGTTTTCAATCTGACGGTGATGGAGGTTCTAAGAGGGCTTTTTTTTCCTCCTCCTGACGTGTGTGTACTGCCTGTATCTCCCAGATTGGTGAACAGCGGCGCCCAGAGTCCTAACCAGTTACTGCATTCCTAGAAAATACTTAAAACTTTTTCATTAACCTGGTATTTTCTTAAGTTTTAATCTATTGTCAAGGAAATAATTCTACAATATATGTATGAAAAGGAGAAACTATATGTTCACTCCCTTAAATGTGCCTAAATGTCACAAAATTACAATAGACAGGAGAATCTCAGTATTCCCAAGCTATCTGCTTTCCTTGTTTGCTATTCAGGAAATGATAGTGAAAACCTAACATCCCAATGAGAACAAAATCATCTCTCCACTTTTTCTGTAGTAAAGCTTGACCACTTGATAATTTCCCAGGCCACATATGGCAGCTCCCCTTGGACTGGAGGAGGAAAAGTATTGGAGGGAAAAAGAATCTTTTAGAATATAAGCAGACTTTAAAAAATTGTACCATCCATTTCGTTCCAATTATGATTTGAATATTTATCAGAAACCTTGGGATTTTGAAGGGCATGGTTTAACTCTATCCTTATTTTTCCTCTTTTTCTTGAAGTGTCTTTGCATTATGTAGGTTTTTAAAAATTCTTAAGATTTACCCAAAGGTAATATATTTTCAAACAAAACAAAACATTGAGCTCTTGGAATTTCATTGAAAAGCCACATTAATATATAATTTAAATTTCAAATTTCAGAGACAAAGTCTATGATATTATTCCTCACAACTGAAAAGAAAAACAGTCTCATCTTTATTTTTAGACAGGCTCTTATAGTATGTATTCCCCTACAATCAAGCTTAATATTTTCTCCAAGAGAAGTTGGTTTTCTTAAATCAAAGTATTTTTTAACGAGTAAGACGAGAATGTGGCCTTCCTTTTTTTTTTTTTTTTTTTTTTTAAGATGGAGTCTTGCTCTGTTTCCCAAACTGTAGTGCAGTGGCATGATCTCGGCTCACTGCAACCTCCACCTCCCTGGTTCAAGTGATTCTCCTGCCTCAGCCTCCTGAGTAACTGGGACTACAGGCACATGCCACCAAATGCCCAGCTAATTTTTGTATTTTTAGTAGAGACAGGGTTTCACCATGTTGGCCAGGATGGTCTCGATCTCTTGACCTCATAATCCACCCGCCTCGGCCTCCCAAAGTGCTGGGAACAGGTGTGAGCCACCATGCCTGGCAGTGGCCTTCCTTTTTTTTTACTCACTGCAATATTAGCAAAGGTTTACTAATTAATATGTCTTAGGCTGAGTGACTTACTTATCTTTACCCCAAAATTAGAGAAGCACGCTATCTGCACTCCAGGATCTGATATTTTCAGGAACAAATTGAGTCAGTCAACCCATGGACACCATGACTGAGAAAAGTTAAAAATGAGGAAAGAAAAAAACAACAAAAGGTCTCAAGAATAGTTTTTGGAGAGAGAATTTTAGTTCTTATATAAACAAATCTACAGTTTATCAGCTTCTCAAAGACAAGTATATGGAGCCAAAGAGTAGAAATTTAAAGATGCAATAAATCACCTTCAATATTGCAAGGAAAAAACTCTTTAACAGAAAACATAACTTTTCAGAACACACAGTAATAGGCACAAACTTTTCCCCAAAGAAACTGTGAGCTAATGAGGCAAACTAAAGTATACATAAAAACTAGCAAGTAAACCTGTAGAGCTCCCCACTCTCAACAACCAAAAACATGCAGGAGTGATTTATAAAAGTATGATAAGTATAAAATAAAAATGTTAAAATATCACACAAATACATTTGAATCAAAGGTAACATTGAAAGCTTCATTGCTGGCCGGGCACGGTAGCTCATGCCTGCAATCTCAGCACTTTGGGAGGCTGAGGTGGGCAGATCACTTGAAGCCAGGAGTTCGAGACCAGCTCGGTCAACATGGTGAAATTCTGTTTCTACAAAAACAAAAACAAAGTTTCACTGCTAGAACTGCAGAGAATATCTGGTTGAAAGCTCTTTCTTGAGTTTAAAGAAATCAAGATTTTTAAAATATCTAAAGCCATACACATATTGTAGGAACAGGGCAAATCTCTTTCATTTAAGTTGGAGACAGCTCCATATCAAGGCTTGGATCAGAGAGCAGGCTGAAGGCAGCCCCTGGAAACGGGGCTAGAGGAGGCGTTGCAGGTTCAGGGAGATGGCCAGAGTCACACTGAGGAGAAACAGAATGGAGATAAGGCAAAGGCCATCACTAGGTTAAACTACAGCTGTTGGGTGCTGTTTGCTGCCTGCTGTTGGGTGCTGGGTGATTGCTGAGTTCTGTCAGCAATTCCCGCAAACTGTGAGCAGCAACCAGGTGCAGCATGATGATTCATCATTGACCATGTCGACCAATAAACCTTGGCAGGTTGCATTTCTGTCAACCACAGTGACACAGCACACATTTAGCTTATGCACATCGCTAGTTTGAAGAGCCACATTAGCTGGCCTTTGTGCCCCAGTTGGTGTCCACTTTGGTGATGGGATAGCTGGGTTGCATTGTGAATGGTGCAGCATCAAAGAGGGGCCCACTTGGCCATAGGTCCCGGCATAGTTTCCTTGCATTTTCTCAATGGTCATCTGCCATCACATGCAGGTTCTGGATGACACTGAGCCAGTTGAAGCCTGATCACTGCCTGCAGAGTCAGTTCAGAGAGTCTGCATGAACACCATAGCATTCTGCACTCACTGACACGTAGAATGACAGTGTTCACAGTGCCAGGTCACTGGACAAGAAGAAACAGGAGGCATGTGGGACCCTAAGTCAGGGTGGGAAGTGCTAAAGTATGTGATGGAGTTGCTGAGCAGTGTGCCCAGTCACCCAAAAGAAATAGGAGGCTTGTTGAAAAACGAGCATTTTTGTGGATGCAGATGGGATGCAGGGTGATACAGGAGAGGGACAGTTTGTCCTTTTGGTGGTTCTGATGGTGACATTGTCCTTCAGGGTCTGCTACCAGTTTAGAATTCCATCTGTGAGTAGCTGACGAAGAATTACATCATAATTCTTGGAGGTGAATTGTATGCAGAGTGTGATCATTTCTCTCTATAATAATTTTTATCTTTCATTTAAGGTCTCTTAACCCTACTGTTTTGGTTAGGGCAACCACAGTTCTCTGATAGGACTAGATACCCAGCTGAAAGTCACTTGCACTGACTGCATTATACTTCTCAACTTCCATTTCAACCAGGACTCTGAAGTGGCCCTCAAACTTCATTTAGTCTTCTATTTCATGCTGTAACTGTTACTCTTCAAAATCAAGTATTTCTGTCATTATTGGACAGGAAATATATTCTGCATGCCCTGTAAAGTTGTGTAGATTGTGCAGCAGAATTCTATCTTAAAGGTATGGTCTTGATCAACGGGGATCACCTGAAGAATGAAGAGGAGGAGGTGGAGGGCAGGTTCTCCTGCAGCATAACTCTACTTACAACATTGCTCAATATCTGATGACTGGCATTGGCATCCAAGGTCTGTGTCTTGCCCTGAGCTGTTCTGCCACCTACCCACCACTAAGTGATGGTAGCTCTGCTCCTCTGGTTGAGGCTTTCTTTCTTTCTTTCCTCCCTCCCCCTCCCTTTCCCCTCCCTCCCCTCTCTTTCCCCTCCCTCCCCTCCTCCTCCCCCTCCCCCTCTCCCCTTCCCCTTTCCCCTTCCCCCTCCTCTTCTCCCCTCCCCTTTCTTCCCCTTCACCCTTTTCCCCCTTTTCCTTTTTCTTCCCCTTCCTTCCTTTCCTCCCTCCCTTCCTCCCTCCCTTCCTTCCTTCCTTCCTTCCTTCCTTTTTAGAGTTGGGGTCTGGCCATGTTACTCAGGCTGGAATGCAGTGGCTATTCACAGATGTGCTCATAGCTCGCTGCAGCCTGGAACTGGCCTCAAGCAATCCTCCTGCCTCAGCCTCCTGAGTAACGAGACCACAGGAGCCCACCACTGCACAGGCTCAGGGGTTCTTCAATAGTAGCAATTCAGGATACTTACTGCTCTAGTACTCTTCTTTACTTCTGGGGAACGGGAAGATAGCTATTAAAACTAATTTGATCTGTACAGAGTTACTGCTGGTGTTCAAAATCTACTGCAGACTTAAGAGTAAACATTCCTCTTATTAAGATGTTTTCCAGAATTTCCAAAACAAAATGTCTGCGAAAAGCCATTATGTTACTAATATCCAAGATGAATACGTTTATATGAAAAACATTTATACGATTTTCAGTGCCTTCAAATTCAAAGGGCCGAGGGTCTTCCTTGGGCATAACTGCTAGATCTGTCCTATCATTCTCTCAAGCTCGTCTCTGGCTCATTCTCTGGCTGTAAAGACAGGCTTCTCAGCACTTACCTGTTTTTCCTGTCACCGAGACCCAGCTCTTCCGAGAGATTCCCAACCTTTAAACCCCTAGCCTTCTCTTCCAGAATCTTACAGCGTATCTGCTACGTAGAATAAAGACATGGTAGAATAAAGACCTCAGGCAGGGAAACAGCGCTTCCTGCGTTCCTCACGCCTTCTTTATGGGGGATTTCTTCCACTATTTCTTCTTTCTGCTGTACTCAGATCCAAATACCTCTCGCTACCGTTTCTCCCTGCTTCCTGCTTCTAAAGGTGCTCAGGAATAAAAGGCAGCGCCTCACTCGGGGTCGCTAGACATTCTCACATTTCTGACCAAGATATTTGGAGCAGATTGCGAGAGAGACAGCGGGCAGAGTCCTCTCCTGACGTGTTTCGCAGAAGCCTGCGGGGACCGCTGCGTCAGTGGATTGCTTTGTTTCACTCCAGCCACGGATTGGCAGACAGCGGCACCCAGAGGCCCAGTATGATATCCACCGCTGGTTAGTTTTCAAAGTCCTCACAAGAGACTATATTGGCTTTTTTCCGGAGACTTATTTAGTAAAAAGAGTGTAAATCATTATTTTTTATAAAATATTAACAAAATGCTCATTTCATAAAATTTAATTCAAACGTTTTAATTTATTAAAATTCTTATTTATTTTTGAGACAGAGTCTCGCCCTGTCACCCAGGCTGGAGTGCAGTAGTGCGATCATGGCTCATTGCTCACTGCAACCTCCCCCTCCAGGGTTCAAACAATTCTCCTTCCTCAGTCTCCTAAGTAGCTGAGATTACAGGTACTCACCACGATGCCCGGCCAATTTTTGTATTTTTAATAGAGATGGGGTTTCGCCATGGTGGCCAGACTGGTCTGGAACTCCTGACCTCAGGTGATGCATCCGCCTCGGCCTCTCAAAGTGCTAGGATTACAGGTGTGAACCACCGCACCCAGCCTAAAATTCATTAAAATTCGACTTAAGAATACTTACAAATTTTTTCCTCTTGACATTTCCTTTTCAAGACTACGGTCTATTGAAACTTATTTTCCATAAAAATGGCTACTCAAGAAATTATCCACTGTAAAAAAATTATAAAAAATTCTCACTGTAAATTCAATATATTAAGGGGAAAATTTTCACTGTAAAAGGTAGAAAACTGATAAAATGTAAAATTATGAGTAACTGCATTATATAATTACTGATATAAAGAATTTATATTTGATGCCTATCTATACTTTAAAGATAGATACATACGTTTACAATTCCAAAAGTAATCATCTCTTTTATGGATATTTTGGTTGCTCATGCCATTTTTCCTCTTCTAACAGTTCCTTTTAGTTTAGGTGTTCACCCTTCATGTACCTAGGAAAGCAGAACCTATTCAGAGCTGTAGTAGGTTCTGATAAATTTAATCTAATAATGGTAATCTCATCCTCTTGATGGTGCTTAGTAATATAGACTTAAAATAATAACTTAAAGCAGGGCTTCTCAATCTTGGTACTATTTTAAGCCATATAAGTCTTTGTGGTGGGGAGCTGTTTTGTGCTTTGCAGAATGTTTAGCAATATCCCTGGCCTCTATGTACTAGATACCAGTAGGACCCACTCCCACAGTTGTGATAACCATAAATGTCTCCAGACTTTACCAAATGTCACTTCACCTTCCCCCAACCATTTTCAGAAACAGAGGCTTAGGGTATTTCCCTAGTGAGTATTACTGGGCCAGGAATAGGAACATGGCCTAAGTTAGTCCAACTGGATTGAAAGACTGCTTGAGGAGAGTCACTCTCTTGTCATGGACAAGGAAAAAGTTCTCAAGTTATTGCTGCTGGCTGGTATCTTGTGAGTGCAGCCTTTGGAACTGTACAAAGAGAGGAAAGCAGAGCCAAAAGCATAATAGAAAAAAGCATAAATAACTGCTCATTCTTCAAAATTAGGAAGAAAAAAACCCCAATTTGTGCTATACCATGATTGTATCAAGCCTAGAGGCAATTAAACTTCTCGACCTGCACTGTCCACTAGAGTAACCACCAGCACATGTGGCCACTGAGCACTTGAAATGCAGTTAATCAAACTTAGATGTGCTGTAAGTGTAAAACACACATTAAGTGTTGAAGCTTTAGTACAAAAACAAGAATATAAAGTATATTATTAATATCTTTATTGTAAAGATATGTTGCAATTATATCTTATATATATTGGATTAAAGTTATTGAAATTTCACTTATTTCTTTTTGCCATTTTAATATGGCTACTAGATAACCTAAAATCACATCTGTGACTGTCTGTGGTCCATAGAATATTTCTGTCAGACAAAGCTGCTCTAGACTACCTGTTTTTTGAGATAATAGATTTTCTTGCTGTTTAAACCAGTGTAAATTAGGTTTTAATGTTTTTCCTATAAAAAAATCTTACTTGATAGAGAAACTGCCTAATGTTTTTAATAAACTTTTTACCTTAAAATATATGGTGATATAGCAAATATACACTGGCTTTTCTGTGGTGTTTGCTATTTCCTCACTCCTATAATTTTCTGCCTCCTAAATATAAGCAGGATTTCTCCCATCACCCATAATTTAACCTCTAAAGTATAAGCAGCTTGTTAAGTAACTAGAAAGTGTATTAAAGGGAATTTTAAAACATACAGGATTATTAGTAACCTCATTGGCACACTCCTTAATCACAGGTTGGAAACCTTTGGAGGACTTGTTCCCACGTCTGGGAGTTTATTGCTCTCCCCAAATCTTTTGTTCACTAGTATCACAGATATTCCATGGAACAACCACAGGGGTGTAATTCATCAATTCAGAGTTTTTCTGAATGTATAATGAATTTTTTTTAAAGTGGATTTATCTGTAGACATCCTTTTTTTTTTTTTTTTTTTTGTTTTTGAGACAGAGTCTTGCTGTGTCACCCAGGCTGGAGTGCAATGGTATGGTCTCTCAGCTCACTGCACCAGGTTAAAGCCATTCTTCTGCCTCAGCCTCCCAAGTAGCTAGGAATTTAACTGATTTTTTGTATTTTTAGTAGAGATGGAGTTTCACCATGTTGGCCAGGTTGGTCTTGAACTCCTGACCTTGTAATCTGCCCATCTTGGCCTCCCAAAGTTGGAGTACAATGGTGTAATCTTAACTCACTGCAACCTCTGCCTCCCGGGTTCAGGCAATTCTCCTGCCTCAGTCTCCGGAGTAGCTGGGATTACAGGCACATGCCACCAAGCCCAGCTAATTTTTTTATCTTTTTCTTTTTGGTATTTTTAGTAGAGATGGTTTTCACCATGTTGGCCAGGCTGGTCTTGAACTCCTGACCTCAAGTGATCCACCCATCTTGGACTCCCAAAGTGCTGGGATTACAGGGATGAGCCACTACACCCAGCAGATTATCTACTGATAAATCCAATTTTTTTTTTTTTTGAGACGGAGTTTCGCTCTTGTTACCCAGGCTGGAGTGCAATGGCACGATCTCGGCTCACTGCAACCTCTGCCTCCTGGGTTCAGGCAATTCTCCTGCCTCAGCCTCCTGAGTAGCTGGGATTACAGGCACGCAGCACCATGCCCAGCTAATTTTTTGTGTTTTTAGTAGAGACAGGGTTTCACCATGTTGACCAGGATGGTCTTGATCTCTTGAGCTCATGATCCACCCGCCTCGGCCTCCCAAAGTGCTGGGATTACAGGCTTGAGCCACTGCGCCCAGCCCCAATTTTTAAAAATATGTAGGGTCAATACAATTTCCTCCCCTAAAAATAGCATTTAGAAAATGTGTTAAACTCAAAAGCAGAAAATATATTTCAGGACTGAAGGAGCTAACTAACATTTAAAAACCTCAGTTAATCTTTTTAACTATGCTTGGCAATCCTCCATGTAAAGAAAGGTTTAGAAACTAAAATACATCATAATTTTGGAAAACCAAAATTGCATACAATTTATCTTGTTACCTTCTATGATAAGAATATTTGAGCATCATAAAACTCAGGGGAGATGCTGAGTAATATTTGGATTATTTTCATGTATAATCATGACCTCACATTTTATATGGTTAAATAAAACATGGCCAAGTATGATGGCTCACACTGGTAATAGAAAAAATTTTATGTTTGAAAAAGAGGAAATAGATCATTCTGAAAATTATACATAAGTCAGCTAACATTCTTCAATACATTATAAACAAAGAGAAATAATGTACAGTTATCTGGAAGGGCATACTTTCTCTTTCAAAATTAAGATTAAAAACCAAACTAACGTCAGATCATTTTAATTTCCTCCAGAACAGTATCTCAGTCTAGCTAAACCACATTCACACACGGTATTAGTAAACCTCCCCACCTCATAACAATTAGAATTGTCCTGGATTAGAGAGGAAATGTATGTAAACTGGTAATATCTCATTTTAAAGTGACAAAGAATATATTTTCTCTCACAAATTATTATAGGATTTAAGACTATGATCTCTCTAGATGAATCAATTTTTTCATTCAGTTAGCAAATATTTTTTGTGTATCTCCCAAGTTCTGATACTATGAACTGGGACACAACGGCCAAGATGGAAAAAGATCACTATCACGGAGCTTTGGATCATAAGGCAATAAAGTGAATTTTGGAACTGTTAATTACATCTTGAGAGAATTCTCTTAAATTTAGGGGCAATTAATATTTTAGAGGATAGAAATTAAGTATTAATGGCCATTATGCTCTACCAAACAGATCTTATTTTAAAAATAAATAGAAATAAGTACTATTATCCAGTTATGCCAAAATACTAAAAGCATGCATTGAAGAATACCTGACTAGCCATAGAAAAGACAAGCAGAAAACAGCAAAACAGAGATAGTGCAAAAAAAAATTTCCAGAGTAATTTAAAATTAGCTACAAGAGAGGCAGGAAACAATACTTCCATTATATCTACTTTAAAAAGATGCTCAGCTATCAGACAATTCTGTCCAAAATGAACCTGTGCTTCCAGAAGAACACTTCCTTCACTGTTTACATTTACATCTAAATCAAGCACATAAAAAGGAATCATCCTTGTTTCCCCAGGAGTATTCCAGAACAAAAGTAAATCCAGAGGTAGGATTCCCCTACAGGCATTCTCAGAATTAAAACAATGTAGACTGTGGGCTGGGCGCGGTGGCTCACACCTATAATCCCAGCACTTTGGAAGGCCAAGACAGGCGGATCACCTCAGGTCTGGAGTTGGAGGCCAACCTGGTGAAACCCCTTCTCTTAGCCGGGCGTAGTGGCACGTGCCTGTAATCCCAGCTACTCTAGAGGCTGAGGCAGGCGAACAGCTTGAACTCCCGAGGTGGAGGTTGCAGTGAGCCAATATCGCGCGCCACTGCACTCTAGCCTGGGTGACAGGGTGAGATTCTGTGTCAAAAAAAAAAAAAAAAAAAAAATATATATATATATATATATATATATATAGAGAGAGAGAGAGAGAGAGAGAGAGAGAATTATATAGCGAGCTGCATGTCCTCACTCCACTAATTCGGGTACTTTAAAATCCATTGCATAGCAGCTACACATTCTTGTATTGACACCAGATTGGTTAAGACCCTAGGGAGCATCCGAGATGTTTCCAGAAGCAAGGACTCCATCTCCGGGGATCACCCGGAAGTCTAAAAGCCATCGAGCCCCAAATCGATCCCGTAAAAGTGCTGGCTTAGCGGGGGATGAATCTGTATCTTTCTTGGAACTTCCAACCTTTAAATATTTTGAAACCAACAGCCCTTACGAAACCCTGCCATTTTCATCCTGGAAGAACATTTCTCGCGAAAAGACGAACTTCACGCTGGGCACCGTAATTGCGCTATTGCGCCGGCGCACGCCGGGCTCCGCACTTCCGCCCGGGCGGGCTGTCACTCACAGCCGCCTCCCGCCCCGCGCCGTGACGTAGCACTTCCTTTTTCGCTGGGTTGGGCACTCAGTCGGAGGGTCAGCGAGTTGACGGTTGTTGTGCTGCGGGCTGCCGCTCTCGTCAGGCTTTCGCGCTGCCCGTCCCGGGCCCTTTCATCAGTAATCGGTAGTGGATCATTCTGCAAACCAGCAGGAAGAACAAAGGAAACGAGAAGGAGACGCTGGGCTCCCTCCCGCTTTGCTCCGTTCGGCTTCCTTCCGCTTTGCTCCGTTCGGCCTGCTCCCGCTTTGCTCCGCTCGGCCTGCTCCCGCTTTGCTCCGCTCGGCCTCCTGTTCGCTCCAACCGGGTGAAACTGAACTTATAATCGTCACTGGATTGTAAGTACCCGAGGCGAAGAGAGCTTACTGCGCCCCGATTTTTTGAATGTCTTTGTTCCGGGAGAGTCTGTGACTTGGGAGTGTCTCTGCTGGGCTTTCTGGGCCGAAAACCGTTCCGCGGGAGCCGCCATTTGCTTTCCTGCTCTGTAGCTAGCTAGCTCTATCCGCGTTGTCCGGCAGCGGCACCTAGAGGTTGGGACTTGGCATTGCATCTGATTTAATGAAAAATCTGTGAATAAGCCATTGTTGTCAGTAACGACTGGTATTCAGTCACAGCATATTTAGAGAAAAGACTTGGACTTAAAACTGAGGCAAAATAGACGCTTAGCTGCTGATCTACAGAGAACTTCTTGTAATTAAACGATTTCAATTCATAGCAAACTGGTGTTTTAAACTGTTGCAGTAGCTGGAACTTTTCAGTGTAACCAGCATTTATTGGAGAAGTGAGTCACAAAGAAATAAAGATGAGTAAAAGCAAAGATGATGCTCCTCACGAACTGGAGAGCCAGTTTATCTTACGTCTGCCTCCAGAATATGCCTCTACTGTGAGAAGGGCAGTACAGTCTGGTCATGTCAACCTCAAGGACAGACTGACAATTGAGTTACACCCTGATGGGCGTCATGGAATTGTCAGAGTGGACCGTGTTCCATTGGCCTCAAAATTGGTTGACCTACCTTGTGTTATGGAAAGCTTGAAAACCATTGATAAGAAAACCTTTTACAAGACAGCTGATATCTCTCAGATGCTTGTAGCCACAGTTGATGGTGATCTCTATCCTCCAGTGGAGGAGCCAGTTGCTAGCGCTGATCCTAAAGCTAGCAAGAAAAAGGATAAGGACAAAGAGAAAAAGTTCATCTGGAACCACGGAATTACTCTGCCTCTAAAGAATGTCAGGAAGAGAAGGTTCCGGAAGACAGCAAAGAAGAAGTATATTGAATCTCCAGATGTGGAGAAAGAAGTGAAACGATTGCTGAGTACAGATGCTGAAGCTGTTAGTACTCGGTGGGAAATAATTGCTGAAGATGAAACAAAGGAGACAGAAAATCAAGGCCTGGATATCTCTTCTCCAGGAATGTCTGGTCACAGGCAGGGCCATGACTCATTAGAGCATGATGAGCTTCGAGAGATATTCAATGACCTCAGCAGCAGCAGTGAGGATGAAGATGAGACCCAGCATCAAGATGAAGAAGATATAAACATCATTGACACTGAGGAAGATCTGGAGAGACAGCTACAGGAGAAGTTAAATGCATCAGACGAACAGCACCAAAAGAATGAAGGAACCAATCAGCTGGTTATGGGAATTCAGAAGCAGATTGACAACATGAAAGGCAAGCTCCAAGAGACCCAGGACAGGGCAAAACGACAAGAGGATCTCATCATGAAAGTGGAAAATCTGGCTCTCAAGAACAGATTTCAGGCTGTACTGGATGAGCTCAAGCAAAAGGAAGATCGAGAAAAGGAGCAACTCAGCTCTTTGCAAGAGGAGCTAGAATCACTCCTAGAGAAGTAAAAAGAACTCTGCTACTGAATTTCAGTCTTCAGACTGGTCAGCAGTAGAAAATTCTTAGCTTTATTACTTGTACTGCATATTAAGACCTTGCCCTTCCTAGTCCCTCTAATGCTGGGTGTTCTGTTGAATTCTTTTGTTTTTAATTTTGTTTTTCTGCAAACTTACCTTGTTTTGCTAGTTGTTAATCCTATAAGAAAAATTATATAGGCAGAAAAATGATTGTAGGAAAGTTGCAGTATTAGTGTAATGTATGGTTCAACCTTAATTATAGTTTCACTGCAGGACTTTGCTGTTTATCCATTTTCCTAGAAGCTGGTGTTGCTGCTTTGTGATGACATGAGATCAATAAGAAAAACTTAGTCTAGAGACAGTGAAGCTGGTTTGTATATGTTTTCCCATGCAATAGCTGTTTTCCCAGTTATTCAAAGCAGTTTCCCATATGTAGAACTGCAAATTATTTTATAAAGTTTTCAATACAATAAATAAAAGCGTCTGTTTTTCACCTTATAATGTATCTTGTTCTTTCATGGTTGGTGGGAGTGAGATTCTCTTGGGAGGTGTTTTTGTGGTGGAGTTTAGTAACTGAGCAATTTAATCCTGTTCTGCAGGTAGAAGCAGTTGGATTTTATGAAAAAAAAAAAAAAAAAAAAAAAAAGGAACGTAGCAGGGATAAAGAAATTGGGAGTTGTCAAATTTGCATCACATTAAGGTTCCAATTCTGTCTGATCTACTTGAAGCTGGGAAACATTAGATACAGAGCTTTCTTTACCATAATTTCTGTAGATGAAGGCCTTTGTGCTTTTTTTTTTTTAAAAGCACTAAATCTACCTGCTTAAAATGTTGAAAACAAAGCAGTGGTTATCAAGTGCAGTCCAATGAACCATTCCATTGGTTTGAATTAAGATTTTATTTCTAATTTTCTTCAATTGAGTTCCTACAATTATTTAATATTCTAAGAACTGAGGTTATTTATCTATGTCATTTCATCAAAAATCCTGATAAAGGAAGTGGTTACCAAACTTCTCATGCTCTAAAGATAATCTAATCCTTACAACATGAGCTATTTTTGAAAAACCAGTTACTGGTAAAACTTAAAAGATGCAGAGTTGTATGCAATGCTTTGGTTTGAAAATATTTAAAGTCCATTTTACTTTTTTCTTTCTTTTCTTTCTTCCTTTGCTTTCCCTTCCTTTCTTTTCCCCTCCCTTTCTTTTTTCCCTCCCTTCTTCTCACGTTCCCCCACCTCCATTCCCTTTCTGTTCATGTTGCCCAGGCCGGAGTGCAATGATGTGATCTTGGCTCACTGCAACCTCTGCCTCCCAGGTTCAAGCAGTTCTCCTGCCTCAGCCTCCCGAATAGCCACCAAGCCCAGATAATTTTGTATGTTTAGTAGAGACGGGGTTTTACCATGTCGGGCAGGCTGGTCTTGGACTCCTTACTTCAGGTGATCAGTCCACCTTGGCCTCCCAAAGTGGTGGGGTTACAGGCATGAGCCACGGCACCCAGCCTAAAGTCCATTTTACTTCTGACAGGACACAGTATTGAAATGTTATTTTTTAAAAAAATCAGTTATCTAGTCCTCAGGTCTACAATTATATATGCTGACATTTTTGCAGACTTGAGAAGGCTAATTTGTCTTTTTAACCAAAACAACTTTATGACAGATTTTCACACAAAATACGGAAGCTTAAGGTTTCCCTCAATATCTAGGTTTTGGATTATTTCTCGAGGTTTGCAAATAATATATATTAAAAAAAACGGTTTAGGATGCTAGGTGACGAAATTTCCTGTTTTGGTAATCTAGGTATATTGCTACACTTAGAAGATTGACACCTGAAAAGCTCCCACAATATCTGGTTTTACAGTGGATCATTTATCAAGTAGTTTATTCTTACCAACATCTCAACACTAATGTTGGCAGTTCCATCAATAACAGAAAGGAAAATTGCTGGATTCAATAACAAAGTAGTATATTGATCTTAGTATTCCTGTTTCTAAGTTATGAGTTCTAAATGGACTCTAAAATCCACAATTCCGACTTTCATACTTCTGCCCTTCAGGTTTAGTTTAGCCAGGTGTGTACTAGAAACATACTTGCAAATCTCTTGGGCAACTCAAGTCTAATTGTTTGAAATGGCTGGGTGCGGTGGCTCATGCCTTGTAATCCCAACACCTTGGGAGGCCGAGGCAGGAGGATCACCTGAGGTCAGGAGTTTGAGACAGGCCTGGCCAACATGGTGAAACCCGTCTCTATCAAAAATATTTTTAAAAATTAGTTGGGCATGGTGATGGCCATCTGTAACTCCAGCTACTCGGGAGGCTGAGGCAGGAGAATAGCTTGAACCTGAGAGGTGGAGGTTGCAGTGAGCCAAGATCATACCACTGTACCCCAGCCTGGGTGACAGCCAGATTCTGTCTCAAAAAAAATTATAATAAAGTTCAAAATGGAACTCTTCTTCCTTGAAAATTTGCTTTTCCTTGGGTTTCAGGGAAAATAAATGGCACCATTACACATCCCAGCTGTGGAAGCTGGACACTAGAGCCATAACTTTACATTTCTCTCCTTCCCTCATTACTTCCGATTTTACTTCTTAAGAAGCTCTTCACTCACTCCATTCCTACAGCCACTTTTCTAATTCAAGCCATTATTATAATCTAGCAAATGACAGTAGCTTCTTTACTATCCAATTTAGTTTTGACTGCTACTGAAGTGATTTTTCTGAGGCATATTTGATTGTGTTACTACTAACATACTTAAAACCTTTCAGTGGCATCTCATCACTCTCAGGTCTAGGCTTATATTTCTTAAAAAGATGCACAAGATTATCAGTGCTCCATTTACCTTTTCGGCCTCAGCTCACCACATTCATTCAGTATATGATCAGTCCACTCTGAACTTACTCTTTTTTCAAGGAATTTACTTTTTTTCACTAGTGGGCCATAGATCCTTTTAACAGGCTGTTCACTCCACCTAGATGACTTTATCCTTTGAGTTCTACTTAACCCTCAGGTCTAAACCTAAGTGTCTCTTCAACAAGGCTTTCCTGACCCTTTTCTCCATCTAGGTTAAGCAACCCTATTATGGCTTTGGACTTTGCGCTTTCCTCTCTCATTTATTCAACAAATAGTTTTTTTGTGCCAAACTAACAGCTACTGGATATGAAGTGATGAACTAAGCGTTTAGTGTCCATAAACTCATGCACTCCATGGTCTACTGGGATGAGTATCTGTTACAACTAAAGTGTAAATTATTTGTTGTTAATATCTCCTGCTTGGCTTTAAATTCACTGAGATACTTTGCTTCATTGGTGATAGTAAACTTACTAAAGAACAGTAGAGAGATCAGAATCTTAACGTCAAGATACATCTTGCATGGTTTGTATCCTAGCTACCTATTAGTTGTATGACCTTGCACAAGTAACAATCTGTTTACCTCAATTTTCTCATCTCCAAAGTGGAGGCAATAATACTACCTATCTCATAGGGTTATTGGGCTGTTGGCTGCTGGCTGCTGGCTGCTGAATCATATAAGAGATTTAGAGCAATGCCTGGAACATAGTGAACAGCAGAAGTAAATTTACCATCATCACGATCTATGAGGGTATGGACCATAACAGATATTAAATAATTAAAGAGTGACTGAAATGGTAGAAAGTGTTTATAGGGAAACAACTATTCTAAATGTAATTGATTTCAAATTTAAGAAGTTTTAGAAATAATTTTCAACCAAATTCAGATGGGAAGAAAATTTCTAAATCAAATCTTATAAATTAGGTTACAGCAGAAACAAAGTTTACTTCAAATTTATCTGCAGCATAAATGAATTGACTCAGCTTTCTACTGTAGTGGTATTTATTGAATTTATTTATGGCTAGGTTTGCATTAATATTAAAAAGTTTCCATAATGGAGAGTAATTATACATAAGGTTCAAAAGAGAAAGATTTAAGATTGGGATCCATTTCCCTTCAATTAAATCCCAAGTTAACATAAAAGACACTTTTCTCATAGCTCCCTTGGCTTATGAGTGTGGTGTGTAGTTGGACTACAGTTTTCAGTATTTCTGGTTTTATGAACAAGTTTGTAAGAACTTTTTAAAAATTCATATTTTAAAATATAAAAATAAGACTCCTTGAAAAACTTCAAGCTGCAGAAATTTTACTAAAAATAAAAAGTAAAGTCATCACTCTCACATCAGTAGGGCAAACTACTCAACGTTTTTATATGTATTTCAAGTATTTGGTTTCCAATCAACTACATGTGTGTGTTTTGTAAAGCAAAAAAGTATGATTTTGTTATAAACACTATACTGCCACTTCATTTAAAAAGTTGTGTATCTTTATCAACATTTCTAAATCTACTTTTTTTCATGATACCAATTTTTTTGTAATTTTATCCATGCCCCTATTAATGGTTACTTAGGTTGTTTCATTTTTAGTATATGTGCTGCCAAAGCAAACACAAGATTGTTTCATTTTTAATTTGTTATTACCCAGAATTCTGTATTAAACATTCACATATATATGGCCTTTGTTAAGAATTCTGAGTGAAAACATAAACTAGGAAGCCCGTTTACTACATAGCAACCACACTGACCTTTTTTATATACTTTGAATGCTAAGGCAACTGTAAGTGCTAAACTCTTTCCTACTGTAGTTTAGCACTTACTGTTTCCTTTTCTTGGAACAGTCACCAGATATTCTCATGGATATAGCTTTTTGTCACTGAAGGCCCAGCTCAACCCTTATTTTCCTGGTAACCCTATCTGGCCATTCAATCTATTCTTAAGGAGCTTGTGCTTTAGATGTTTCATCATGTCCAGTGCCATGTCATGTGCAGTGGTCTTGATTAAAAAGTCGGAAGGTTCTTTGCCCCTATTTTCTCATACATGTGTTCTGGAGGATATGTGCTTAAAAACAAAAGCAGCATCATTTTGGTTAGTTGGAATCAGGGAAAATGGTTTTAATTGCTTAAGGTTGCCTATTAGGCAGTGTTACAGTATATGCTTGGCCCTGTTTTCTCAAAGTCCAACTGTGTAGTCAAATATATTTCATAGAACTTGACCTCATGGAATCTATTATTTGTGTTACTATGCCTGACAGTTCATTGAAGGTATAGTTCTTGTACTGATCCCTGGCTTCAGTGTTATGGAGTATGGGACACTCCAGCAATTATAACAGAAGTCCAAGTATAGTGACAAACTGAGGCCTTCTTGTGCACAGCCAGCAGAACTTGCCAGTCATGTGAGTGATCCATCTTGGAATCAGATTTTCCAGCCCCTGGTTAAGCCTTCAGTTGACTGAAACTGTATCTGACATCTTAACTGAAACCTTATGAGAGACTCCTAAGTGAGAAATACCCAGCTAAGCTGCTCCTAAATTCCTGATCCACAGAAACTATATGACATATAAATGTTTGTAGTCTTTTATTTCACTTCATTTTGGAGTAATTTCTGATGCAGCAGCAGATACCAATACAAATTTTTGCTACCTACCTAGAAGGGAGGTGCTGCCATAAAAATCTAAACTGTGAGAGTGGTTTTGAAATCAGGTCTGCACATGGAGAGAAACTGCTCTGGAATTTTGGACACACAAACTATGTGATATGACAAATGTTTATTGTTTTTTAATGCCACTAAGTTTTGAGAGTGATTTATTATGACTTAGTATATAAGTTATGCCTGTACATAAATGTCATTTGAAATCATAAGCAGGGTTTCTTTCTTTTTTTTTTTTTTTTGAGATGGAGTTTCACTGTTGTTACCCAGACTGGAGGGCAATGGCACGCTCTCGGCTCACCACAACCTCCACCTTCTGGGTTCAAGCAATTCTCCTGCCTCAGCCTCCCGAGTAGCTGGGACTACTACAGGCGTGCACCACCATGCCCAGCTAATTTTTTTGTATTTTTAGTAGAGACGGGGTTTCACCTCGTTGACCAGGATGGTCTCAATCTCGACCTGGTGATCCACCCGCCTTGTCCTCCCAAAGTGCTGGGATTATAGGCGCGAACCACAGCGCCCGGCCTAAGCAGGGTTTCTTAGAAGAGTAGATGGAGTTAATAGATGGAGTGCCTTCTACTCTTAAATTCAAGATCTAATATTGGTTGCTGGTAGAAGTGTCTAGAAAAGAAAATATAATATTGGGTGTCGGTATCAATTGGGAGCAATTGTTATTTCTGTGTGTTCTTGATCAGAGAGACAAAGTGAGGAAAAGTGTGATATGGTGAAATATGTATTTGGTCTTTGACTCTGGTATACAACTGCTAAAATCCCTAGAAACTCCAAAGTGATGTCTTTTTGTATGCAAATGAAGACTTGATGGCTGGCAGCCCCTAGGCAGCTTCAGGATGGGGGCTGGTTTCCAGAAAGACCAAGGCAGGATTTGGATCAACCTCTAGGGAAGGGGAGAGAGGCTGAAGGTTAAGCTGATAGTCAGTGGCCAATGATTTAATCAATCACTCCTATGTAATGAAGCCTCCATAAAAACCTTGGGTTCAGAGAGCTATCTGATAGCTAAACACATGGAGGTTTTTGGAGGATGGAGCCCTGGGGAAGGCATGGAAGCTCTGTGCCTTGTTCTCTGTGCCTTGTTCTCTGTGCCTTGTTCCCTTGTTTCAGCTTATGCATTGTTTCATTTGTATCCTTTTGTGATATAGTTTATAGTAAACCAGTAAATGTTTTTCCATGAGTCCTGTGACCAGCCCTAGTGAATTAATCAGACCCAAAGAGGGGCAACCTCAACATGAAGCTGGTCTGTCAGAAGTTCTGGAGCTCCTGACTTGTGACTGGTGTTTGAGGTGGGAGTGGGGTACAGTTTTGGGTACTGAGTACATAGCTTGTGGGATCTGATGCTTTCTCCAGGTAGATAGCATAGGAAAATACCCAGCTGGTGTCTGCCGTAGTACTGATTGCTTGCTTGGTGTTGGGGGAGAAACCCCCACGCATTTGGTCACAGAACTCTGCCGTGTTGATTGTTGTGGTGTGAGCAAAAGCAAAACATCTTCCATTTTTCCACTCACAGAAATGGTGCTTAAAGACTAGAAATATGTGTGCATCATGAACTGTTGCCCAACGGAATCCATAAGTATTGATTTCACTCTCAGGAAAGGGAAGGGGGAAAAAAGATTTTGTTTTTTGTCTTGCTTTGTCACCCAGGCTGGAATGCAGTGAAATGCTTTTTATAGAGGCAAAGATAACCTAGCATGGCTGTTTATACAGCTAAAGAAGATAAAACAACAATGTAAAACTTAATCTGCTTATCTGCAATAAAAGATAAAAGATGTAAAATACATATATATATATTTTGAGACGGACTCTCACTCTGTCACCAGGCTAGAACGCAGTGGCGCGATCTCGGCTCACTGCAACCTCCGCCTCCCAGGTTGGGGATTCCCCTGCCTCAGCCTCCTGAGTAGCTGAGACTACAGGCACATGCCACCATGCCCGCCTAAGTTTTTGTATTTAGTAGAGACAGGCTTTCACCATGTTAGTTAGGATGGTCTCGGTCTCCTGACCTCGTGATCCACCCACCTCAGCCTCCCAAAGTGCTAGGATTACAGGCGTCAGCCACTGCTCCCAGCAACATGTAAAGTATTTTTAAATGTTACTTAGATAACACCTTTACAATAAGTAACCTTAATTATATGTTTTAGGCTTGTTAAAAACGCGCGCCTTGACTGAAAAGACACCCCGAACAGGCTTTGTGTGAGTAACATGGCTGTTTATTTACCTGGGTGCACGGGGGCTAAGGCCGAAAAGGGCATTAGCCAGAGGTCTATGCAAGATTTTATTTCTATGTCAGGCCTTGTTCCCTTATCTGAGTGAGCCTGAGGTCTCTGTAAGTTTTTGTTTCTGTGTCAGGCCTTGTTCCCTTATCTGACTGACCTGGAGGTCTGTGCAAGTTTTTATTTCTGTGTCAGGCCTTGTTCCCTTATCTGAGTGAGCCTGAGGTCTGTGCAAGTTTTTATCCAAATGGGCCAAGGTTTTTCTATCTGTGCAGCCATGGGCATGTCTCTGGGCACAACACCCTGTGCTAGTTCCTTATCAGTGCCTGCAGCTTGAATTTTTTCCCAGGCTGCTTTTTAATGTTATGTGGGGATGAGACTGACCCATGGGCCGGGGGCTCTCCAGGGACCATTCCCTTGCTATCTACCTAAGGCAGGCTAACTAACTCCTTTCAGTTTCAACAGTGAAATAATTTGCTTTCTAAAATGAATCTCAGGGAAGACTTCTGACCTATTTCACATGAATAAATGAATCTCAGAGAAGACTTTTGGCCTATTTCACATCAATCTAGAGAGATCAGAGAGAGTAGAGAATTATAGATTTTGAAAACAGAAATTTCAAAGTTGAGGAGTTGCTCAAGCTAGAAATGCAGGCCCTGGACAGAGGGATACTTTCTGGTCTTGAGCAAAAATCTCCAGTAATTTTATGCACACAACTTCCTGGAAATAATTATCACCCCTCCTTACAGGACTGGGCCAGAAGAAAGAGAACCTACATTTCTTCTGAGTTCAGCAAGAAGATCATGAAGAAAATAAATGTGCAGGTTTGATACTCCATTGCCAGATGTGACCCTTCCGAGATATCACATATACCTAATTACTACTGCTTAGCATCCAGTGATTGCTAGGGCAAAGAATGAATTCCTAACTATAATACCATTCGGCAATGCAAGATGTAGACCATTTGGCCTTGGCAGTAGACCAAAGGGTATAATAAATTACAGAAAAGATTTTTCAAAGTTAAGGGACAAAGCTTGCTATGTGGAAGTGAAGAAAATTTTAAAATGAGGCTAGGCATCATAAAAATGATTTGATCAATTTCAATCTTGGAAACAAATACCATGGCACTAACTTAAAGAATATAAAAAGCCACAATACAAAAATACAACTAAGGGGACAGTTCCCTAAATTCAGAGACAGTTCCCTAAATCCAACACTGATTGCACACACAGTATAAAATTTGGATTCCACGTTTTCCTTCTAAATTTTATTTCGAAGTATCACTCTTCTAACTACAGAACAAACATCTAGACTGTCAGATCCTTGAAGAGAGAAAACGGACACCATTAGTGTTGGAACACTCAGAGCTCATTACAATACATTGTAAATGGTGTGAGTTAAAGACATATTATATAGATAATTTAGTGATAGAACCCTCAAATTTCTTTAAACACCGTATTTCAAATTACTATACTTTTGTTTGGAGTCTGAAATGATACAAATTATACCCAAATATTGAACCATAAATTAAACGAATAGGGCAGGAAAAGAATTCTCCTGACTTAGATTTGGATTCCTCCCTCCCACCCCTCTCACTTGCCTCATACTATTTTTGTCGAAGGTATTGATTTAAATCTTTAATGGATGACACGTAAGAAGTTACGCTGACCACAAAGCTAACTTAGACTAGCTCACAGACAGGGCGACTGTGGACTCTGAAATGATCCACTTACTGTCAAACGCCAGTCCCATTTTCTATTTAGTATAGGCCTGCTCTGATGAAGCACCACTCCATAGCTACTGACCATTTAAGTATGGAATATATCACTTAACTTTATAAATGACTTTAAAGTGTAAACATGATTTTCTTTTAAAGTAAAGTAAATAAATGGAAGGCCAGCCATAACTCTGGGGCACAGCAGGGCTGACACTGAGCCTCCCCTCCCCTAAATGTCCACAGCAGCCTTTACTGGTCAATATCTCATTTCCCTGACCCTCTTGCTTCTGGCACTAAGGCTAGAGTTACCACAGAGGCTTCAAAGATAGCAAAAAGCTTGAGTAAACAGTTTCTCACAGGAATTACATTCTGCCAAGTGATAAACACACATGGTACAGACTGTTATTAAGACGGGTAGCCTCCTTCTTTTCAGCTTTAGAGGCTGCTTAAGAAAACTTGTTACTGAAACAGACTCTGCTGGTGGACTTGGAGCAACACAGAATAATGGGGCTTACTTTACTGGTGACGAGAATGACATGGCCACAGAACAGGTGCTTATCTCCAAGTCTGTGGGGATCAGATAGATGAACTACGTTTTGGGGTGGGGAGTCGGTCTTTGTTTCGGAGGGGTTTTGTAAGTGTACATATACATATATATGGTATATAATTTAATAAAATTACTTTTCTTATGTTTCATTGTTTAGTCACATCCCATACACAGTTATCATTAAAACTTACTGTTGGCAAGTACCAGATTTAGAAGACTCTAGCACTGTAAAGGCATGAGAAGGTATTATGGACCTCAAGATAAATTTCAAAAAGAGCTTGTCCCTAACATGACTCACTGTGTAGTGAAAGCACTAAGTTCTATTTAGTTCTACCTGAGAGTAGATGACTTTTACTCACAAGTGTTCTTAGCAAACAGGGAACAAAAGCTTCTCCTAGCTTTGGCACTTTCTGTTCCCCTGGAGGGTTTCTGGCTGATGGAGACAGTGAGTCACCCAGAATGCATCGACAACCCCAAAATGGGCCAATAGAACACCCTAGAATCCTACCCAGGCCAGGACCCAGAGACTGGAAGCTAAGAACTGTTATCAGCCACAAGGGTCTTCATCAAAGCATAGCTGTACAGCTCCAGCTCCTTTGAGGGGGAGAAAGGAAGCTGGTGCAGGAAGGCTGTGCTGATTCCCCAAGTCCTGATGATACTCTAGACCACCCCTAACCATATAGGCAGGATGCAGAATATAATCTCACTTTGAAAATGGATAGCACTATTTTAAGGGTATTGCTTCTTGGGAAAATACACAATGCTTACTCTGAAACTTAACTCAAGAATGTCAAAACCACACCCGTATGCAGGCACCTTCTCCTCTTAAAAATACAGGGTATTTTGGTTTTCAACTACCACATGAAGACTTTTCAAAACTTTAACCGCCTAATGTAGTGCACATGTTAAGCAGACTTTACAAGAGATCCTGGCCAGGTGTGGTGGCTCATGCCTGTAATTCCAGCACTTTGGGAGGCCAAGACAGGCAGATCACTTGAAGTCAGGAGTTCAAGACCAGCCTGGCCAACATGGTGAAACCTCGTCTCTACTAAAAATACAAAAATCGGCCGGGCATGGTGGCGGGTGCCTGTATTCCCAGCTATTCAGGAGGCTGAGGTGGGAGAATTGCTTGAACCGGGGAGGCAGAGATTGCAGTGAGCTAAGATGTGGCTCCCCACATCTTAGTGTGGCACATCTTGGTGTGCCAGGCTGTGGCACACCAGCCTGGGTGACAGAGTGGGACTCCGTCTCCAAAAAAACAAAGAGAGATCCTATGCAATCATTCTTACCTATTTCACAAAATATGGTCAATTCTGGGTTTTGGGGGGTGATATTGGAGATTATACATAGAACCAAATTGTTTTACTCACAACATATTACCATCCAAACTGCATGTACACACAAACAGGTTTATGCAAAGGCCCTGACAGAATGATACTTAGTTTTTCAGATTAGGTACATAGGGCCAACCAGTCCACCCTGTACATCCCAGCAAAGGCAAGAGCAGCAACTTTTCTATTTCAATACAAATATGGGCAGAAATTATATGATGTAAAACACACGCCCTTCCATAAAATTAAGGTTTAGGGTAGAATAAGGGAAGATAAAACCAAAATTCCCATGAAGTCAGAATTCACATTGGTCTTGTACTGTGTTGAACCCTGTGATGAACTGTAGTCCTCAGAGTCATGGACTCGGATCCCGGTCCACCAAGACACTTCAGTATGCTTCCAGCTGGCTCATCATCATCTTCCTGCTGTATTCATAGGCCACAAACAGCGCCCCATTTGCAGGGACTGCTCGAATCATAGTAGCTGTCAGTCCAGAATATAAGGCTGCTATTCCTTCATTTTTTGCGACACTTAAGAGGGTACCAACAAATCCTGCCTGTTTTCCATGCATAGAAAGAACCTGAATTCTGGATTTAATACAATCCACTGGGAACACGACAAGCCAGAGAGAAATTCCAGCAACTCCGCCACTTAACATCAAATGGACAGGGCCTAGTTCATCTTTTGATCTCCCTGATGCAAAAAACGATCGGCTCAGTTCATAGCCACCAAAGAAAAAGAAGTAACCCGGTACTTCTTGAAGTAGAGTACTGGAGAGTCCGTGGTAGAAGCCCAAGGGGCCATCCTTTTTAAGGATGTTCTTCACGACAGACCAAATTGTATTATGGCTTTTTGCTATCTTCCCTGACATCTCCATTTCATACATGGTCTGTAGCCGGCACTTCACAAGCTCAGTGGGGCAGAGAGCCAACGAGGCGAATGCAGAGGCAAAGGACCCCGCGGTCGCAGTCTGTAGATCACTCAGCTTTGCCTGCTTGTCCAGTCCAGCCATTTTCCTAACAAACTGCTGGCAAAACCCATAGCACATGAAGAGGACCGAGTTTTCGGCGACATAGGCCATCAGTGCCGGGCCAGTGCCCCTGTAGAAGCCCCGGAGACCTACTTGGGTGTACGTCTTCAGGAAGCAGTCGGTGAGGCCCTTGTACAGGTCGGGAAACGTCTGCATCTTCACTTTTATTGTGTCGAAGGGCTGCCCGGTCAGTACACACGCTGTTCCCCCGGCGGCTCCCGCTGTTAGGTCGATGGCGGCTTGGATGCCAGGACTGGACTTCATGTTCGCTCACTCGTCTGAGGGTCCCAGTGGAAGGTGACTAACTGCCCAGAGCGTGGAACGGGCTTTTCACATCCCACTGCAGCGAGCACGGGGATTGGGGTTGGGGTTTGGGGGTGGGGGAACCCTGCCGCCTGTTCTGGGCTCTCACCCCAGTACTGGGGAGGCCGCTTAACCCCACGCTCTGCCGCGGGCCTCCCCCTCCCCGCGCACTGAAATAACCCCCAGCCACCGGCCCCGCGCACGCGGCTCACTGAGTCCCTGAGGCCCGTGACGCACTAGCCAGACCCCAGCCCCTCCAGCCTGGACCGCACCCCCTATCCCAGCGCTCGCAGGCGGGTGATGTGGATCGAATAAATACTTTTAGTGAACTGCGACCGGGCACAATGGCTCAATTCCTGTATCCCAGCACTTTCGGAGGCTGAGGCGGGAGGATTGCTTGAGCCCAGGATTTGGAGACCAGCCTGGGCAACGTGGCAAGACTCCAGTTCTATAAAATGCAAAAATTGCCGGGCCTGATGGAGTGTTCCTGTGGTCCCAGCTATTCAGGAGACTGAGGTGAGGATTGCTTGAACCTGGGAGGTCGAGGCTGCAGTGAACTATGATCGCACCACTGCATTCCAGGGTGGGCGACAGAGTGAGACCCTGTCTCAAAACAAAACCAAAACCAAGAAAACATTTAAAGCTTTTCGATAAATTATTGCAATTATGGCCAGAAACTCTAGGCGCTGCTATTCAACTGGTGGTGAAAGAAATGCTGTCCTAATCAGCCAGCCGTTTCTTTTTCTTTCTTTCTTTCTTTCTTTCTTTCTTTCTTTCTTTCTTTCTTTCTTTCTTTCTTTCTTTTTCTTTCTTTCTTCTTTCTTTCTTTTCTTTCCTTCCTTCTTTCTCTTTCTCTCTCTCTCTCTCTTTCTTTCTTTCTTTCTTTCTTTCGTTCGTTCTTGTCAGGGTCTCAGTCTGTTGCCTAAGCTGGAGTTCAGTGGTGCAATCCCAGCTCACTGCAGCCCTAGTCTCCCGGGTTCAATCCTCCCACCTCAGCCTGCTGAGTAGCTGAGACTAGAGGGACTACAGGCGCAAGCCACCACATCCGGCTAATTTTTGTATTGCAGAGACAGGGTTTCACCATGTTGCTCAGGCTGTTTTTGAATTCCTGAGCTCAAGCAATCCACCCACCTTGGCCTCCCAAAGTACTGGGGATTACAAGGGTGAACCACCGCGCCTGGCCTGTCCCACACTTCTTATCATGCAAAAAACAAAAACAAACAAAAAAGAAGATGCCCTCACTTGAATGGAGCCTGAATTCAGAGGGCAAATCTACAGAAAAACTGCTTTAAAGTAGGTAAGATAGCCCAGGTGGGGTTGCTCATGCCTGAAATCCCAACACTTGGAGAGACCGAGGCAGGAGGATCATTTGAGACTAGGAGTTCGAGACTAGCTTGGGCAGCAAAATGAGACCTCCTCACCAAAAATAATAATAAAGTAAAGAAGACAAACTGTCAGAGGTGCTGGAACCAGAGCAACTCCATCTTGAATAGGGACTGGGTAAAATAAGGCTGAGACCTACTGAACTGCATTCCCCAGAAGACAGGCATTCTAAGTCACAGGATGAGATAGGAGGCCGGCACAAGATACAGGTCACAAAGACCTTGTTGATAAAACAGTTTTCAGTAAAGAAGCCAGCCAAATCCCACCAGAATCAAGATGGCATCATAAGTGACCTATGGTAGTGGTTATTGTTCATTATACTCCAATTATAATTTATTAACATGCTAAAAGACACACCCACCAGCACCATGACTACTTACAGATACCACGGCAACATCAGGAAGTGAATGTAAAATAGTTCAACCCCTATGGAAAGTAGTAAAGAGATTTCTCAAAGAACTAAAAATAGCACACCCATTCGACCCAGCAATCCCACTATTGGGTATCTACCCAAAGGAAAATAAATCATTTTATCAGACACCTGCACCAGGGACAGTGGCTCACACCTGTAATCCCAGAACTTTGGGAGCCAGAGCTAGGTGGATTGTTTGAGCCCAAAAGTTCCAGACCAGCTTGGACAACATGGCAAAATGCCATCTCTACAAAAAAACACAAAAGGTAGCCATGCATGGTGGCATGCACCTGTAGTAGCAGCTACACAGGAGGCTGAGATGGGAGGATTGACTGATCTGAGGACGTGGAGGCTGCAGTGAGCTGTGATCCAGCCTGGGTGGCAAAACAAGATCCCTGCACTCATATGTTTATGGCAGCACTATTCACAATAGGAAAGCCATAGAATCAACCTAAGTGTTCATCAACAGTTGATTGGATAAAGAAAATGTGGTATATGTATACCATGGAATACTATGTAGCCATAAAAAATAATGAAATCATGTCCTTCACAACATGGATGGAGCAGAAGGCCATTATTCTAAGTGAACTATCTTAGAAACAGAAAATCAAATACTATATGTTCTCACTTACAGGTGGGAGCTAAACAATGGGTACACATGGACATAAAGATGGGAATAACAGACACTGGGGACTTCAAAAGAGGGGAGGGTAGGAGAAATTGAGGGTTGAAAACCTACCTGTTGGGTACTACATTCACTATCTGGGCGATGGGTTCGTGAGAAGCCCAAACCTCAGTATTACACAATATACCCATGTAACAAACCTGCACATGTACCCCTTGAATCTAAAATGAAATTAAATTTAAAAAGAAGTAGAAGTTCAGGCTATAAATGACAACATACCTAGCTTTCAAGGCAAGATGTTTTTTGGACATTAGTGAGGACACCACTGTCAGGACACACTTTTTCCTCCCAGATGTTTATAATGTCAGCATTGGAATAAATTCTCTCCAGTCTTACATTCCAAGCCATAGTTGGCCATGGGTAGTAAAAACAAAAACTGGGGGTAAGAAAGTATGCTGAAAGCATTCTTTCTTTCATTTAGAAAACTTTCCTTGTCTAATTATCCTTGGCTGTCAATTAAAAGTAGGGTACTTCAGAACAAATGTCCCTTAGAAAATTAAAAAAAAATTTTTTTTTTAATGAGGAAAAGCAAATTGTACATGGATAATTTGTCAACAGGTAGTCTTCATTGTAGTAAATAGTACCCTGGGCTTTTCTTTGGGAAATGCCCAAATGTCAGCACTTGCAGTTCTTTCTCTGGGATCATATAGTTTCTTCAGAGAATGCTCTTCAAACCTTGACTGTGTGTGTAGGGTGTGGTGGGGGAGAGGTAGGTTATAAACCTAGATGCTGATTTAACGAGAACATGACAGGGGAAGAGGGGCAGCACTCCTGCAGTAAATACATAGACTTTCACATAATTTTTTCTTTATTTGATTCTGTGCCTGCTTTCTCTGAGTTTGGGCCTTCATTGGTTCAATTTATCCAGAAAACAAAATTTCCATCTTCTCTGAGATGGAGTTACCTGGCTTCATAGAGTGGGAGAGAGATTCTGGACACCCAACAACTCTGAACATAGACTTTAATGAATCTCACATCTCTAATCCTATATCTTCCTACCTTCCCTGGGAATCTTCTGTTTACAAAAATTTTGCCTCTTACAGGCTGTATATCAAGTGGGTTTGTCTCTCTTTGGTATAACCCCTTGCAGATATTTAGCATGTAACTTTTTCTAATCTATGAATTCATTTGTCATTTCTCTGTTTTGGTGTCCCAGTAATGGGTTAACATCTCTCATCCATTGTTGTCTCTTCTCCTATTTTCTTTGTCCTTAGAGGTTAACATCTTTTAAAAGTCCTTTCTGTTACTTTATTTAGCAGCCTCTTAGGTAAAGCAGAGAGAATGAGAACAATCTGCAATTTGAAAACAGAAAACTTCATTAGGATTTTTAAATCCTTGATGTCATATTTGAGGAATTTTTTTCTATGTTTTGATTTCATTCTCAGGAAAGGGAAGGGGGCAAAAGGGTTTTGTTTTGTTTTGTCTTGCTCTGTCATCCAGGCCGGAATGCAGTGGCACAGTCATGGGTCACTGTAGCCTCAGCCTTTCAGGATGAAGTAATCCTCCCACTTTAGCCTCCCAAGTAGCTGGGCAAGAGGTATGCACCACCACACCCAGCTAATTTTTATTATTTTCTGTAGAGACAGAGTCTCACTGTGTTGCCCAGGCTGGTCTCAAATTCCTGGGCTCAAGTGATACTCCCACCTCAGCTTCCCAAAGTGCTGGGATTACAGGAATGAGCCACTCAGTCCAGAAATTATTTAAATAACATATTAGGTAGATTTTGCCACAGTAATCTAATATAAATTAGAAATCTTCTGGCCTGGTGGCGTGGTGGCTCACACTTGTAATCCCAGCACTTTGGGAGGCTAAAGCAGGCAGATCACCTGAGGTTGGGAGTTCAAGACCAGCCTGACCAACATAGAGGAAACCCCATCTCTACTAACAATACATTATTAGCCAGACAGTGGTGCATGCCTATAATCCCAGCTACTTGTGAGGCTGAGGCAGGAGAATCACTAGAACACGGGAGGTGAAAGCTGCAGTGAGCCGACATCATGCCATTGCACTCCAGTCTGGGAAACGAGCAAAAAACCATCTCAAAAAAAAGCTACTATGATTCGAGCAGTCCCTGCAAATGGGGCGCTGTTTGTGGCCTATGAATACAGCAGGAAGATGATGATGAGCCAGCTGGAAGCATACTGAAGTGTCTTGGTGGACCGGGATCCGAGTCCATGACTCTGAGGACTACAGTTCATCACAGGGTTCAACACAGTACAAGACCAATGTGAATTCTGACTTCATGGGAATTTTGGTTTTATCTTCCCTTATTCTACCCTAAACCTTAATTTTATGGAAGGGTGTGTGTTTTACATCATATAATTTCTGCCCATATTTGTATTGAAATAGAAAAGTTGCTGCTCTTGCCTTTGCTGGGATGTACAGGGTGGACTGGTTGGCCCTATGTACCTAATCTGAAAAACTAAGTATCATTCTGTCAGGGCCTTTGCATAAAACTGTTTGTGTGTACATGCAGTTTGGATGGTAATATGTTGTGAGTAAAACAATTTGGTTCTATGTATAATCTCCAATATCACCCCCCAAAACCCAGAATTGACCATATTTTGTGAAATAGGTAAGAATGATTGCATAGGATCTCTCTTTGTTTTTTTGGAGACGGAGTCTCACTCTGTCACCCAGGCTGGTGTGCCACAGCCTGGCACACCAAGATGTGCCACACTAAGATG